CCAGGCCAGCCTTGAACCCTATGTAACCTAGGCTGGCCTCAAACTTGCAGCGATCCTCCTGCCTCAGCCTCCCTTGTGCTGGTGTTACAGGCGTGCGCCACCACAGCCGACCATATTGTCGTACACGAGTGCCTTGGTTTATGAACTTAATTTGTTTTACGATTTGGGGGAAGATGGCCATGGTCGAGTTTGGCCCCTGATGTGGTATTTGCAAATGGAAGCAAAATTTTGCCAAATGCTTTTGCTTGTGAACTGAATTGCTTACAGACAAGTGTTTGTGGACTGAGGTATTACTCTAGATTGTTGTGCGTGTATTTGCCACCTTCTCTTCATCCACCCGTCAGTGGTTAAGGTTGCGTTTGCACCTTGCCTCTTGTGACCAGCGCTGCGTGTCTGTAGTTTCTGCTCTGACACCCACACCTGTCGTCGGTCTCCAGTCCATCTGTGTCTCCTGTGTGGAACGGAGTCATTCTCCTGTCTGTTTGGTTCCTCTCCTACTTTCACCCCATTTTTTCCACACCTCCTCTGCCCGGTGCCAATCCGGAACCTTCTTTATCTCCCTGTTCTCTTGCTCTGCTGTGTTAGAACCCTTCATCAGCCTTCTTGCTCTGGCCAGGCCTCAGGATGATTTCCTTTGCTGCTGCCTTCCTGCCTTGCTGGGGGGAACAGAGAGCCTGGGGTGAGAAACCTTCCCTTTCCGGGACCTTGGTGCTAGGTGTTTCCCGCGGCGGGGCAGCAGGTGAGCTGCATCAGAGCCGGGACACTGGGAAGCCTGCAGGGCCTTGAGGCCATGAGTCCTGGGAGGGGCACGCAGGAAGTGGGGGTTTGGGGATGCGGACCAGGTGTCGCCTGCCTCGCAAGCGCAAGGTCTGGAGTTCATCCCCGTACCAAAGAAAAGGGGAGAAGTTCACCAGGTCAGTGAGTGGGGGACGTTCACGTCCAGCAGGACCACACAGGGCCCTCTGCCGGGCTCTCCCACGCCTGTTCCGCCTCCTCTTCCTGTGGTGCCGGTGGCTCAGGGGTTAAGGTGTGGCCGGTGTGGAAGCCACCTAGGTGATGTGGACCAGACGGGTGGAGATCGGGCGTGCTGCAGGACTGCGGGATGGGGGCCTCCGCGGAGAGCCGCACCCTCCTTTCCAGCCTTCCATCCCTGGCTGGCCCCTGCCACAGTAGCCTTGCTGGTGCTTTCCGCTGCTTGCCGGCCCAGGTCCCCAACTCCCTTCTTTCTTCTGTCGGTCTGTCCTTCCGTCCAGCACTCTTGGAGCGGCTGCTGGTTGGCCGCCATGTGTGAAGGACACGAGAATGCGCGAGATCCTTCTAGGGACGTAGCTGAGGGGGACACACGCGCCCCGTGATTGCCCCTGTGCACGCGATGCTGAGGTGTGGAGATGCGGGGAGGGGGACCCCTGAGGGCGGCCGCTCCCTCTGCCTGCCGCCAGGTCCCTCCACGCGGTCACAGAGGCCCTGCAGATGGCCTCCAAGCTGCTCTCCCTTTTCTGTCCCTCCGTGGGTTCCCCCCACCTCCCCCATGTGACTGTGGGCTTCCCTGGGGTCCAGGTTCCACGCGGCACGGATAGACCCGAGTGGGGCCCTGCGCTCTGCCTCTCGCTGATAACGCGCTTTGGGAAGCGGGGCATAAATAAGCAAACAAATAAATACTATGCTTCGGGCATACTCTTCGGGGTTGTTGTTGGTACGGGGATCAACCTCGGGCCCTTGCGCTTGGGAGGCAGGTGGCGGAACCACTGAGCTGAGTCCCCGGTCCTCTTTGCTGTTTTCGTTTAACTTTGTTTCTGTTTCTTGCCGAGCTTCACCCATTTTGAACGCTCTTTGAATAGAGACGAGGAGCGGAGGACACTACCTTAGGCAAGCAAGATCCGCCTGGGCTTTGGCAAGACACACGCGGGACAGTCCCGTCCCCCGCGCGTGCGGCCTTGGGCGGACCAGCTTCTCTGGAGTGCTTCGCCGCAGTCCCGGCGGTGCCTTCTGTGTGTGGCAGGCGGGGGCCGAAAG